ATATTTTCTCAGCGTGTGCAAAAAAAAAAAAAGTTAGTGTAATGTAAATAGAAACAACTCTAGATATGGGGAGTACCAGTCTCATACATCTATATGTTATATTGCAAAATCTGAGAAGCGTGGGAAAAATCGATGTGGAGAGACGAATCTGATAAAAATGAGATGTCTAGAATTATTTGGTCATTTGAAAGAAATTAGTTAACTGTAAAGCGTCACTCTCAAATGTGTGCAAACAGCAAGAGCTGAAGTAGCTCATGATTCGATAGCACGCTATGTGGAGGGATACTGTAGAAAGTATGTAAGAAAACTAGAATTGCTATTCGATTGGCTAAATGTAACTGTGTTGTACCGTTCTTTTATTGTTTGTTGAAACTCCTGTTTGGTCTCGTGTCGCGCTGCCAATACAACATTCATGGAAAATCATGGCAGCGCAACACGAAACCAAACAGGAGTTTCAACACACCAACAGAAGAACGGTACAACATTCACGGAATATCATGGCAGCGCGACACGAGACCAAACACGAGTTTCAACACACCAACAGAAGAACGGTACAACATGCACGGAATATCATTTTTGGAGTTTTCGCGCCATTAATCTGTCCATAAACTAAGTCTTCCGTCATAATAGTTTTCTAGCTGCAACAAATAATACTTGTTTTATTTTACGTGATCCTTGTTTCACTGTCTTTGAAATTACTTCATTATATGACTATTTAGTGCGTCACTCTTTTCACAGGCTTGTCACAGTGTGTTCAGAAATTATGTTAATAGGATTGTGTTTGAGAAACAGGAACTTTGCACAAACCTCCGCTACAGAGGCTAAAATATATCCAGTAGCCCAAAAGAGGAACAGTAAAATATGAATGGAAGATCACGACAGCCCGACAAGAGACCAAACAGGAGTTTCAACACACCAACAGAAGAACAGCTAACTTATCATTTATTACAGAACACCAATGAAAAATTATAAAGATTATGTTAATAGGGAAACAACAAAACATTAATTTTGCACGGAGTAGTTGTGAAGTTTATTATATAATATATAGTGTAAGAATGAAAAACTGGATCTTATAACGTGATGTATGTAAAGGAACTGTGTGGTTAAAATCAAAACTTCACTGATTCGAGGTGGTTAAAACTTGTACATGATAAAATAAATTAAATTGTTAATCTCCATGCGATAAATCATGTATACGGTAAATAACTATAGCCGTACATTAAATATTTATAAATTATCTGTATAATCAAAACTAAAACTGGAATATTAGTGTTAAAGAATATGAATCAGAAATTTGAGGTTGGCAGTTTTTTTTTATTTATTGGCAAAATAAATATTTTCGTAAGTCAAGCATGTACAGAGTAGTGCAAACGTTTTTCACTACGACAATGATAGTTATCAGTTCGTTCGTTACTGCGATTTCCTCAGTCACGTCTCTGTTTCACTGTCTTTTTTTTCTTTTTCTTATTTTGTTGAGATATTGGTTGGGCCCTCAAACAATATTGTGGTGCGCGATTTTGTAGCACCCTCTATTGGCAAAATAAGAAATTTAGTTGTGTACTAAAAGAAAGAAAATGGACCGTTAAGTCGAAATTTATACATTTGTGCTTTAGTAATACAATTAAAGTAATGATTAGAGGTCGATAATACGTTTATGTAATACATCAAATATCGACCGGCTTTACTATTTAATTCGATTTTAATGTAATGTGTGAGTGTGTGTGTAAAATGTACAAGTCTGACTTTATTCAAAGCCATGCATGAAACAGGATACGAAGTTTCCTCTTGATAATATAGCATTCGCTCACGCGTTTCCCTTTTTCCACAACATTAGTGTAATTGCCATTTTTTACCGAACGTTTCATTTCATTATTGCTTTCAGTCTACTATGAAACGAACTGTACGACGTTAGAAAATGCTAGATCGTTACAGGTCTTAGTTATGCATAAGCGTATATCCTAAGTAAAAGTCATGCATAAAACCTTCATAAGTACATGTTTGTGTTATATGAGTTTGAGCCTTTAAATGGATTTTTTTACAGTAGAAACAAAATACTTGACAATGTTTTGTCACGTTTCATTGCTTTCAAGTGATCGATGGGAAATTGAGTACAACAGCAAAAAGTTCATTAAGCATTTATTACGCGTGATACTTTCTCGTCCATACCGTGTCCGTTTTCTGTTATTTTTTGTAACGATTGTTATTACAAATAAATGCAGCGGATTCGATAATTTATCTTTATACAACGATACAGTATTAAAAAAAACAAAAAAAACGTAAAAGTTGAAGTTTATACGCGTTTTATTTAAAGAATTCATGAATCATAAGTTACGTCTATGTTATATGGATCGGACGTAACACGCCGTGACGAGAAGCCGTTACTAAACCGATTTTAATTAGTTATTTAGTAAGGTCTAGTAATTATAAAGCATTCGGTGAATAATATATTGCATTTAGAATTGTTAGCAATAACTTGGTAATATGCAAGTTAATAACATGTTCGTATAACTTAACTGTAGTTCCTTATAATAATGATATTCCACAAACTTAAGTTATTTCGCCAAGTCTTTGAAATTATTACAATTTACACTGATATGTATTTTGTTTTAAAGTTCCATTTAAATAACTTAAAACTGCGATTGCCTGAACTAATATGATTGTTATTTGACCATTTATGAAAGATAAAAAAAAATATATTTAATTTTTTTAGGTAATTTACTGGTTCTTGCAATTGAATTAAATTAGAATATACAACATGAAATTTATACATCGTAAACAGCGTCATTGTAGCTTTTGTCAACAAACCAATTTACCGTATTTTTCGGTGTATAAGACGCACTTTTTTACCCCAAAATTTTATGAAAAAATCTGCTTGCGTTTTATACCCCGAAGGTATGAATAATATATGCACTGAGTGGTC